CCATTTAAATTTAATTGTGTGGTGCCTATATATATGTATATATCTACATGTCCATATAGGTATATAGCTATAGCTATATATACACACATATATGTATGTATATACATATATGTATACATGTATATATCCAGTTAAATTTAATTTTGATGTTGTGTAAATAAGGCCTTTAGGTAGCAGAGTCTTCAGGTAGTAACCTAAATGGAAATAGCAGAGTTTAAATTCTTTCACATCTAATTCCAGCTGACTTTTAGCTGCAATTCAACACTAGCAATACCGACCACCATCCTCTGAGTGAAGAGCTGATTCTTCCTTCACTGGTTCACAATGTCCCCAGTGGCCACAAAACCAAGTCTTGGCTCTGAGTCCAGAACACTACTGAGGCTCTCTCCTTTGTCAAAAACTTTGGGGTTTGATGTTTATGTCTTGGGCCTGCAGTCTATTTTATACTTCTGTTTTGCTGGAACTTAGAGCTCATGCAAGGTTAAATTCTGGAATCAGGAAATGTTCCATGAACTTTCTTTTCAGAAGCCTCCAGCAAGCACTTTAGGAGTCACTAGATATTTATGCCTGTGAGGCATGGGTCTATACAGACACATGGAGTACAGTTGTCCCTGGTTCATTTTTCCTCAATGGAGCATGTACATAGTGTGTGTGTGTGTGTGTGTGTGTGTGTGGGAGGGAGGGTGGGAGAGAGAGAGAGAGAGAGAGAGAGAGAGAGAGAGAGAGAGAGAGAGAGAATTTAGAGTTTAGGGACAACAGGAGGTGATATGATCACAGCTATTTGGCAGTGGCTACAGCCGTTGTCTAGCCAGACACTTATGAAGGAAGTGGGCAGACTAAGATTTCTGTATTTTGACTCAACCTACAAGAACCGTAGTTAATTTTTTTCTTTCTTTTCTTTCCTTCTCAAATGTTCGGCTTCTACCAAATAAAATAAAGACTCCAAAACATTTGATAGATTATTATGCAAATGTTAATTATTCAATAATGATGCTACTGGTGTTTATTATTATTAGAGCTATTAGTCACCATGGCATCCTATTGGCTTCTACTTCAGGGGCTCACCATGATGGTAGCCAGATTTGATATCACAGGGATTCCTGTTAGCAATACATTATATTCCTCCAATGCTCAGGTAATTTAAACACATAAGTGACAGGTGCACTGTGAATACTGATCAATCAGAACAGACACTGACCAGTATAACATATTGGTGAGTGCTGCTGAATAGCAGCCCTTTATCAATAATCAAGTCTCCACTGAGGCTAGCCAAATTAGAAGTTTAGCTCATTGTACAGATAATTTTTGTGCCATATCTGATTCAAAAAAGTCTTCTTCTAGGTCAGATGTTTTCTGAGTGATCTAGTCAAATTGTTCTCAATCTGGAATACTTGGGCCCTTAGGTGTTTAGATTTATTCTCAGGGTCTATGAGTCCTCCACCTACATTTTTAAATATCGTAATTCTTTTTTGGCCATAATCTTCAAAAATCTTTTGTATGACCACTTTGTATTTGAGCTCTGCCACACAACCTCTGCGCTCCACAGAAAGTGTTGAACTTTACATTGAATTTTTTAATGTAAATGAGGTCCCATGGCTAGAGGTCCTCAGATTTATTGTCAAGTGCCAGTGCTTAACCTATCTGAAACATGCTCTAATCTATTCTCTCGCCCCATAACAGGAGCGCAAATCCTCCACCATCCCTTACCTCTGCTTAATTCTTCCAGCAGAAGGAACTGGAAGAGTTCACAACACATGCAGAGTCATGGATTTGGGAGCTTAAAAAATACTAGAGACCCTCTGGTCCAGACTTCACAGTATTAAGCAATTTACTGAAGTCTCAGAGCTGTTGGAGGATTTGCAATCCTGTGTATTTCCTGCTTTGCACTCTGACCACCTGTTTTCACTTTGGGACAGCTTTAATTGTTCTTTTCTCTGTTGGACTCGAATCTGCCTCTTTAGAGTGCACTTAAAACCACTGGTTCTCTTTCTAAACTCTGGAGCTATATATACCAAACCAGTGTAATTATCCTCTGGTGAGGTATATAGTGTAATTGACAAGTTATTTAACTTTTTTTCTGGTAAGGTATGGGTCTTGTCAAAAGTGTGCAGTTTTCTTCTAAGGACGTGGTAAGAATAAAGTGACATATTTGCATCTTAGAACAGGAACTAAAAATTTGAAAAGTGGAACCCTTTAAAAAATACTAGGGAAAAATTACTGATTAAAGAAAGATTCGTTTGGCGATCCAGTCATTTCCTGACATCACTTTTGCATATATGGTTTTTTAAAAGAGTTTTCTATTGCCTGATTTTAAAACTGTATTAATTTTTAAATTTATTTTTGAATAGGTAATATCTTTACATTTACTGGTACAATTCTAGAGTGGGAATAACTTTATGAGCTTTGTGGACTGGGTGCTTGTAAACAGTAGTAATTGACTTACTGATAAAAGTGTTTTTTTCTTTTTTACCTTTGAGGTGTAATAACTTTTATTTTTCTTAATAGCTTTTTCTGCTTATATAGTAATGTATACTCATTGTGGAATATTCGGGAAATACAAGAACACATAAAGAAGAAGAGTTAATTCATTTATAATTCCATTTTGGCACACACTTCGCCGTTATTTCTCTCTGCATTTTTTTTCCTGGTCTTCCCCACCTCCTTTAAGTCAGCTTAACCTCCATGTCCTCTCAGTCACTCTTCCAGTAAACTTTGTCAGTATCTGTATTTCCACCCAAGTCTCAATTTCAAGCATGCTCCTCTCTGACAATCACCTCCTAACTGTCCATTTCACTTCCTCTAGGACCCTTTCTCCAACAGTCTTCAGTGGCACCAGGGTTCTAATTAGTCCATTAATCCTATCTGCCATCTTTCCATCCCTCCCACATCTTTACTCAGGTAGAGTCCATGTGTCATCATTAAATTATCTTGCACCCACCCTCAACACCCTTGCCTTTCCCTCAATCGTAACTCATGGGCGGAATACAAACTCATTAATCTTATATGTCTGCTAACACTAGCTGTGTACTGGAATTCCTGGTTGTAGCTGGTGTAAAAACATACAATGTTGTCAACTGGTCTCATTTAAAACCAGTGACTACAAACCTCGAACAGGCTTTTGGTGGTTCCTGGCCTTTCTGTGACATTTTCCTAGTTATGTCACCCTTTTGTTCTCTCAGATGATTTTATACCTTTTGTCTCCTCAGACTACTATCAACCTTCACTCTCACTTTCATTTGGTCTCTCTCATTTCCCTAAGGGAAGTAATCAGAAGAGACTCCCATCTTCCACTATCAAGTCTTTCGATCCATCAGCAATTAACCCTTATTTGCCGCTTTCTTTCCTGTCAGCGATGGGTGAGCTCTCTGTGCTACTCCCAAGAGTTAATGCCTCTTGTGCAATGACCATCCCATCTTGCTTACTCAAAGGACATCACTCCCGCAGCCCTTCCTCCTCTCTCCTGCTATATTAAGTCCTCTCTCTCTCCCAGATCATTCCTCTAGGCATACAAAACGTGCTGTAATTTTCCCTACCTTCAAAACAAAACAAACAGAAAA